GACGGGACAGAGTCATGGCTGTGGACGCCACTGATATTGCCAAACAGTCTTCCAACATGCCTGCATTCTCATTTGCATCCATACCTGATTGTTGGAAGGCAGTACGGGCACGTACTCTTGTCAACATCCCTTACTCTCACTTAAACATTTTGGCCTAATTTAATAGGCGAAGCCAACGTTTCCAGTTTTTAGAAATTGTTTCTTTCATAACTCACAAATTTGAATATTTCCCTGTGAGTGTTTACTGGCTATCCTTCTTGTTTGAGTTTTCTCTTCATATCTTATTTATTAAGGTTTCAGTATGTTTTCTCATCAATATTTATGCATTTCATAATAAAGATATCCCATGGCCTGCCATTTAGCAGCAATTACTTACACCTCAATCTGCTGGTTTGAGTTTTCCTTTTGTGATTTCTGAAACGCGTCATGAAAGTTTCATGATTTAGAATCAACTTGTTTTCTTTTGATTTATTTTTTAGCCTCTTTTAAGCTTAGAAATTTCCTCTACCAAAAAAATAAATATGACTTTGAAATCCAAGTACATCTTGTCATTTGATTTCCCAGGTGTCTCAGGTTCTTCTGGAATCGTTTTGGTATTTGGTCCAGATGTCTGACATGGCTACCTTCCGTGCGCACTCCTACCTCCATAGGTGGCACCCAAAGGTCATTAATGTGTTTCCAGTTGACTGGGGGCCATATGTTCCTTTTTCTCTGTGGCCCCAGGCCGAATCTCGGCAGCCATCCTGAATCCTTCCTGCCCTCCCTCTCATGCATAGTCATCTGTCGCTCCCAGACTGGTGGATGTGGGCTGGAGATGCCCTTCCTCAATTGGAGGAAAAACAAGATGTTGCTTCTTCTGTCTAGGGCACTTTCCTCACTCACATTCTTGTCTGCCTCGTTCTTACAAATCAGGCAAAACCAGATATGTGTTTGCTGGGTGCAACAAAATTGCTACATTGTCCCCAGCAGTAATGGTCCTTAAATCCAATTGCAATGTTTTGTTAACTTGTTTGTGGGCCCACATCTTTTTATCCTTACTGTGACCTCACTGACTGACCCAGTCCCTTGTACATTTAGGAAGCTCAAGTTATATTTGTTAGATGTGTTTAAAGAACGAAGAAATGAGTGAAAAGGACAATGAAATATGAGTCATAGCAATGCCCAGCGTGATTTGGTGTAAATTCTATCCAGAGAATATGACAGTAAAAAAGACAGATTGCTGGAATTTATGTTTTTATGATATCAAGATGGGTGCTGTGGTTGACATTTTCCCTATCCATCTCACTTTCTGTATAGGAGCCATTACTGCAATGCAAAGACTTGGAAACAAACAAAACCACACACACACACACACACACACACACACACACACACACACACACACACACACGACTCCCCTGCAATCAGCATTCTGGATATAAACTAGGTTCTACCAATCAAACATGCTCTTGGAAGATATAGAGAGCAAGAAAGGGTCAGAGGCCACTTCCCTCCTGCTGTTTCTGCAGCCAGGCTGGGTCATCAGACTATGAGAACTCAGCATTCTAGCGTCCATTACTCTCCTGGCTGTCTAGAAGCAGCTGTGGTACCAGTACTGACAGTGGGAGGGTAGAGGCCTCTTGGTTCTGAAACTCTGCTTGAGAGTAGAAGTCCCGCCTCATTCCTTCTGCCTCTCTTTCTTTCTACTATCTGTCTACCATCTATCTATCTGTCTGTCTGTCTGTCTGTATGTCTGTCTATCTGTCTATCTGTCTATCTGTCCATCCGTCCATCCATCCATCTATCCCTCATCTATCTATCTCCATCACAATCTGCTTATCATAACAGTTGATGGAAGCTACTATACTCCAATTCTCTGGCCTTCTACCGACTTCTGTAACTATCTTTTTTTTCCTTAAAGATTTTAGGATGTTTTCTAGTTTATGGACTGAACCGTTACAGACGTACAAGCAATATGACTGACTCCCCTTTTCCCCAACTAAGCAAGCATCCTGCCTCCATCAATCTTAACTTTTCCTAGGGCATAGCGAGAATTCTTGTTCCTATGACTACAGATAAATCTGCTGTCGGTTATCTTAATGTTTCTGAAGGAATGTTAAACCATTTCCACCATCTTTGTCCTCATTTTTCCAGCCTCCTTTGAGGCTGTCTAAGCACAGACCTTGTAACTCAGCAATGAATCTGGCCTGTAGTGGCAATTATACAATCAGACCCAATAATAAAGTTATAGTGAGAAAATATTGATTTAATGGCTAAGATCTTTAACTTATCAAAAGTTCTTATAAAACAGTAAGAAAAAATAATTCAATTGACAAAATTTAAAAACACAAAGAAAAATGTCCAAAAAAGTATAAGATATTTAATTTTAAAAATTAATTTTACGAAGGTCTTTTTGTTTGGTTGTTGTTGTTTTCTGAGACAGGACCTCCCTATGTAATTCCAGCTGGCCTAGAACTCATTCTGCTGTCTCGTCTATCTTTGAACTCACAGATTTGCCTGCTTCTAGCTCCCTGGTGCTGGCATTAAAGTCGTGCACTATCATGCCCAACACACCATTCAGGTTTTAGAACTTGGGCTATCACTCAGCAGTCTTATGACATATTCAAGGCCCCAGGTTCGATCCTCAGAACTGCCAAAGTGGTGAAGGGAGCCTTAAGTTTTTCACAGAAGTGTAAGATTCACAGAAAAATTGAGAGGAATGATCTATGAACTAGGTAGAGGCAGAAAGATCATTGGTGATTAAGTTCCTGAGTGCAGGTACCTGTGGGAAAGTGGGTGCTGCCGCCTGGCCTCCTAGTTCCTGCTAAGTGAATCAGGCTTCCATTAGTTAGTCCAACTGAAAATGTGGAGTTCTGTTATTGGAAACATTGGTGAAGCAATTAATTATTTAATTACTCAAGAAAGAATGAGAATAGCAAGGTGAGAGATGTCTGAAGACATTTTTAAAATATGTATGAAATATCGAACTAGCAGTATTATACCCAAGGTTAACAGCAACTGCCTCAGCTTTTCAAAACCATTAATATAACTCAAGTAATGAAAACATCGTAGTTATGGGGGGAGATAAGAACATTGGTGAACAGCCTTAGAAGTAAGAAATTGTCCCATTTAAATAGACACACTAGATTTCTGTAAATTGCAAATATTTGACTGATAAACCACAGAATTCTAAAGAGTAGTTAAAAGAAAATCACATCTGGACACACCAGGAAAATAAAAATTAAAAAAAAATTAAGATGGGGGTCTCTCTACATAGTTTTGACTGGTCTGGAGATGGCCTTGTAGACCAGGCTGGCCTTGAACTCACAGAGTTACATTTGTCTCTCCCTCCTGAGTGCTGGGATTAAATGCATGCGCCACCACAGTCAGGAAGGAGAACCAGATTTTAGAACATTTATTCACTTGAGGGATGTTTTTTGAGCTCTGATTATTTCCTACTCTGTATGCTGAACAGGAAAGAAGTTTCTGCCCTCATGGAATGTTATTTAAAATGGTAAATTATGGGAAATAAAGTGCTTAATGATAGTGGAATGAAAAATACTGCTTATTATGGAACAAGTACGATATGGGAGTATTTACAGTCATTAAAAATAATGATTTTAATGACAGCAAATTAAGTAAAATATAATATAAAATTATGAATGTGAACGAACACACAGGCATAATCACTAAATTATAAACAAAATGATATATAACTAAAACTATATGTATCATGCACATACAGAATAATTTTTTTTCAATTGCATGTGACCAACAGAAGGTCTACTAAAATGCTAACTGGACTCATTTCTGAATAATAGAATTGTGTGCATGTCTGTGTTCCAAATTTCAACAACTTCCATATGTTGTTTTATAAGTATAAAATACATTATTTACGGTCATAGCAGTGCTTAAGAAAAATAGTGTCCTGGTTTCTTTTCCTGTTGCTGTGATAAAACACCCTGACAAATGTAACTTAGAGGAGAAAGGGTTTATTTTAGGTTATAGTTCCAGGTTACAGATCATTATTGGAGCTAAGTCAGGGCATCATCTTGTCATATTGCATTCATAACCAAAAAGCAAAAAGCTTTGAATACATGTATGCTTGTGCTCAGTTGCCTCTCTCCACTCTTTAACATGTATTTATTATTTATTTATGTGTTAATTTATTATTTATTTATATGTATGTGAGTGTTTGCCTGCATCAATATATGTGCACCACATGCATGCAGTATCCCTTGAGGTCAGAAGAGGGTGTTGAATCCCCAGTAACTGGAGTTACAGGCAATTGTGAGTTGCTATTCGGGTGCCAGTAACTGAGCCCAGGTCCTCTGTCAGAGCAGCAGCAAGTGTTCTTAACTCTCTAGCCATCTCTCTTCCCACCTTTTTCTCTATTCCCACACAATTCAAGATCCAAACTTGGGGAGTAGTGCTACCCATAGAGTATGGGTCCTCCTACTTCAATTAACATCATTAAGATAAAGAGCGATAAACACATCCACAGTCCAATCTGGTGTAGATAATCCTTCACTGAGACTTTCGGGTGATTCTAGATTGTGTCAAGCTGATAATTAAAACTAACCATGAGAGACCATATTTTCAAAACAACCCATATAAATACATCAGCTATATAAGCAGATGTATGTATATAATGCACACAACATGTTTGGTTTAAGTAGATTAAAAACTGATCATCTTATTCCACCCTTTTCCAGTCCTCATGGGAAAGTCATAAAATTTGACCCATTCTGCTGCAAACTGTAAATTTCACTTTGCTGATCTCTGATGACCACAGCTTACAGAATGGATCAAAGGTATCAGGCCACTTTCTCTATCAGTGCCAGGTTGGGAGTAAGCAGTCAAATTCTAGTGAGATTGTCTGAGACAGATATGGGGTATCAGAGGGCTGCATTGCCTTTAAGTATGATCTCCGTCTATAGGTGTGCACTCAAATCTCGTATAAATAAAACTGAAGATGGGCCACATGGAGCTTCTAACACAGTCTCTCTTGTCTGGGACAGGCAAATTGGGGCCTCCTCTTGAGATCAAGCTGGGAGCCTTGAACTGTACAGCTTTCAACATCCAGTGGAAAACACCGAAGCGTTCTGGTAGCCCCGTCATTGGGTACACAGTGAGTACAGGGGCATGATGATGTCTGTAGTGTGTGTGTGTGTGTGTGTGTGTGTGTGTGTGCTTGATTGTCCATTTTTGCTATGTTTGTACCTCCTGAACAGGTTGAGTATCCCTTATCTGCTTGGGATCAGAAATATTTTAGTTTGGGGATTCTTTTTCCCTTCAAATTTCAGAGTATCTGCTTAATACATAATTAGGTATCTTGGGGCTAGGATTGAAAGCTAAACCCAAAAATCTAATAATGGTTCATATGTACCTTATACATACATAGCAGGAGACAATTTTATATAGTTTTAGTGCATCTAGGTTTCTACTCATCACATGAAGTCAGGTGGGACATTTTATTGTTTATGTTTTGGTGTCATATCAACAGTCAAAATGCTTCAGGTTTTGAAGCAACTCAGAGATTGTTTTTTGTGCTATAGGTACTCACCCTGTTTGTGGCCCCTCACGTAAATCCTCTTGTGTTAATAACTATGTCATTTTCCTCTTGTGAGCTGGTCGAACCATTAATACACTGGGATCTTTCCAGTCTTTTTGCTGTGTAGCAAAGGGAAAACAGAGCAAGAAGAATTAGTGGTTTCTGTTACCAAGTGCATACCACCAACTTTAGATCATAATGCAGAAGCAGAGGAAGTCATAGGGAGTCACTGTGAGGATCCGAGTCAGAGGGGGACACAGATAGAGCAGGGTGATGTTTAGTGACTGCGTCTGTCCCACCAAAGACTACAAACTAGGTTGAACGACTAGAGTTTGCCACAAAGTTTGTCTCTGAAGAGTGTTTTTGGAGATGAGGTAACTTTAGAAGCCAGGGCATTTCAGACTTCTGAAATCTTTGTGACATTGGGAGAGCTGGCCATATCAAGCCTACAAAGCCCCGCCCAGAGTGTTGAGCATTTCATCTGGGGTGGAGAGAAAGCTGCTTATTCCACTTGACTCCCACCACTCCCTACTGTCTTTGTTTCACTGAAGAATGGAGGCTGTAGTTCATGGTTCATGCCCTCTGGTCTTCTGAAAGTGGAAGTCTATTTTGAGACTGTCTTAGTTAGGGTTTCTGGTGCTGCAATGAAACACCACGACCAAAAGCAACTTGGGGAAGAAAGGGTTTATTTCATCTTGCCACTTTCAGGTCACACTCCATCACTGAGGGAAGTCAGGATAGGGACTCAAGCAGGGCAGGAACCTGGAGATGGGAGCTAAGGTAGGGGCCATGGAAGAGTGCTGCTTACTGGCTTGCTCTATCTGCTTTCTTCCACACCGACAACCACCACTCAGAGTGAACAGGGCCCCCACACATCAATCATCAAACAAGACAATGCACCATAGACTTGTCCAGTGGTCAATCTTATGGGGACGTTTTCTCAACTGAGGTTCACTTTTCCAAAATGACTGTATCTTGTGTCAAGTTGACATACAACGAGCCATCTACAAACATGAGATATGAGTGTCCCAAGAAGGTTATATTTTGGGGGAAAGGGGACAAGCTGAGTCCAACTCTACCCATCCTTCCTCATTGTATGGGTCTTTCTCCAAGCTTGCGCATGCTTATAGTACTTATGGGACAAGGTGACATACCTCAATACCCACAAGCTTTCTGAATGTTTGTGAACCCTTGAAAGTCTTAGGAAAATGTTGCTTCTATTCTCACCAGGGTCTTTCCTTCTTTTCAAGGTATTTTTCTCTGAGGTTGGTTCAGATAAGTCTCTCCAAGAGCGGTCACACAATGTACCTGCTGGCCAGGACACCCTAATCACTGTGAGTATTTCCATGTAGGCGGCAGGTTGTTTGGGACCTTAGGGAAATGCAAATCGATTTCTGGCTTGCTACATGTACTCCCAGGTATATAATGATGACAATGGTTTGTGTTAGCATTCTCAAGTGTTGCCTGTGTGCGCTGCTTTGATGACATGCTATCTCCTTCCAGAAAGGCGGGCAGTTGATGAAAGGGTCCATCCCAGACACACTCCATTCTTCCCCGAGTGAAATCAGCCACCCAAAGGCCTCCCCCCTCCATTAATTCTTCTCTTCACAAAATTCAAGGCTGACATTTTTGTAATCTCAATAAAACTTTACAAATAAACTCGACACATCTGTGTATTGCCAGCAGGCTGGAGACATGATGCAGAAGAAAATGATGTAATTCGCAATGTATATTCACGTGGTCTGTTGTTTATTTGATTTTCCCAGCCCGGCACCATATGTCAGCTCCTCCTGTTTCATGTCAGGGTCTTTCAGGGTGAACATTTTGCTTTTGGCTTCTTCCTGTTTCTTTCCTTTCTGCCCCTCCTTTCCATTCTGCCCCTTAGTCTGCAGTCTGGAGCTTCAGAATAGCTCCATAAAGCATGGCCCTGGCTCCTACAGAAACAACACTGTCATGGTGGCGGTGGCGGCGCTGTCCGTCACTCCCATTTAATAAGTGCCTGCTGAGTACAGCACAGCTCGGAACCTATTTGTCATCTTCGGGAAGCCGCTATTACTTATGAAGTGTCTGTCACGCTGAGGCCCATCCCTCCTCCTTTATGTTTGTTTTTCTGTTTACTCTTCACAACTCTTCCATGACCTCATTCTACTGACAGGAATGCTGAAACAGAGAGGTGAAGTAACTCCCTCAAATCGTAGATTCGGAAGAGCCCGCATCACTACGCACCTTGGCTGGAGGTCTGAGCCACAGACCTGGCTCATCTTTCCTAAAGCTCTCACGACCCGGAAGGACTAGCTGTGAATTTCACCTTGCTTGCATCCTCCTGTCAGCCCTCAGTCCTAAACTCGTCAGCCTCTGAAGCCCTCAGCCCCAGCTGGTGGGGTTCTCTCTGTCCTAAGTTGAAAGATGAGGACCAGGCATTAGGGTGTCCTATCAATTTCTATTCCAGCATCTTGCTGATGTAACCACTGGTGTGGCGGCTTCTGTATGTCCACTGCAAGATAACATGCAGTCCCTGTTTGGGGACAGCATTCAGTCTTAGAAAAATTCAGCCTCGCCATCTAGCATGCAATCCCAGCTACACAGGAGGCTGCGGCAGGAGAAAGTCAGTTTAAGGCCTGCCGGGCTGCAGAGTGAATTGAAGGATACGCGTATGGTACTTATTAAGACCATGTCTCCAAAGCAAAGGAGAAAGAAAATGGGAAAGGGAAAAGGGGGAAAAAAGGCTGAGGCAGCAATTCAATGATAGAGTACTTGACTAGCATGAGCAAGACCCAGCATTCAAACCCCAAAATATAAAAACAAAAGAAAGAAAAAAAAAACCTTACAGTTACCCTGATAAAGCAATTAGAGAACAGTGGAAGACCAAATGCCATTAACCTGACATTTAATAGACAGGATCTGAAAGGGAAAGATAAATATTGGCACAAGTAGTCAAGAGATAAAACTTGGAGCTGAAATCAAAAGAGAACTTTCTCGAAAGTCAGATTCAAAGGAACACCATCCCAATGGGAGGCAATGGTTTGGACCTTAGGGATGGGCATGTGTGTGTGCACCTATGGCCGGGGGCCTATATGTTTGGGTGTGGGTGAGGACACTTGTCCAGTATGCAGCGCTGGAGATGAATTAAGGACTGTGCATCAACGCTATAAGCCAAGAGGACAGAGTGGGAGGCTTGCAGGGTAGCTGTCCACGAGCTCAGAATCCTGTGCTACTGCAAACCAACCGGGCAATCTTCCCGAGTCTCCGTCTCCCGCCAACAAAATAAGGATTCTAGTGCTCTGCAAGGCCACAGTTAGTATCTGTGGTTCTCAAACTGTGTGTCCGAGTACCTCAGGGGTCTTCAGCAGAGCTTCTCAGGACACTGTGAAACATTTTAAAACTTTGGAGCTGGCAGGAAGGCTTGATGGGTTAAACAACAACAACAAAAAAGTTGACGACCCGAGTTTGCTTCCTAAAACATGTAAAGGTGGAAAGAGAGAACTGACTTCACAAAGCTGTCTTATGCCCTTCATACATGTACCACATATATAACATGCATACACAAACACACATCATCATCATCATCATCATCATCATCATCATCATCATCAACTCTTTCAAGGAAAACAGCAACATCTCTGTGATATGCCATACCCGTGGGCAGAGGCAGGAGCTCTGTGGGTTGAATTTAGCCCTGGGAATTTTTTCTTCCTCTTTAGTCCTCTCTGTTTTCCCTTCTTGCTCTGTCTTCAGGAACCTCCTGATCATCAGGCGATTTTTGTGTGTCTTAGGGAAATTGAACCCCAACCCCAGCCCAGGACCAGGGGAAAGGAGTCCTCTTCACCAAAATGTTGAATTTTCTGCATCCCCTCATCCTACGTAAGGCCCACTGTAGATAACTAATCCTAGGGTTAGCATGTGGGACTTTAATCATTTAGGAAAGGGTATCAGCATCTTTGTGCCTGATGTGTTACCTCCCATGGCAAAGAAAGGCTAAAGGGTGGAAGTCATTTGAACTCGGTTCTACGATTATGGGAAGCTGATGGAAAAAGAGAAAATAGTTAAACTCATGAACAGCATACTGAGGAAGCCCTGCCCCAACCCTGAACCTCTCTTATCCTTATTTTAACTGCCCTAGAGTGTCCTTATAGTAACACAGGCCCCATCACCAAAAGGAAGATTGACTCGGTTTTCCAGATTGAATGACAAGTAGGGAACTAGACTGACAAATGTTTAGTCTGATTCATCACCAAAAGGAAAATTGACTCGGTTTTCCAGATTGAATGACAAATAGGGAACTAGGCTGACAAATGTTTAGTCTGATTTAAATGATACGTTGAAAGGAGGAGACATGGCAACAGATAATTTGACCAAAGTAACCTGGCTGGCAGTGTGGAATACTTAGAGATGGTTGGATAGTCTTCCTTCTAGAAGCTTCTGACTTGATTAGCCTTTTACACCCACTTTATCTTTCATCTTAGAAAAAGAACTTGCAGTTCCACTCAGGAAAACAGAAAAGAAACCAAGCAACAAAAATTTGATAATATTTTCAAGAATTAAAAATAGAAAATAATGGTTAGACTGGTGGTTTTTTTTTTCAGTTTGATCATGTATCATCAGTTAAGTGTTTGAGCACACAGCACTATATGTATATTTATGTATTTATAAATTATACATGTAGGACTATACTAATATATTATGTACATTATAAAATCCCACAGAATCTTAAAAGAAGAGATAAAACAGAAATGGAAAGTTCTAGTTTCTTCTGCTATCTTAGTAGTTTGTGTTGCTTACCTAGAGAGAGGCTCTGAGCACTTTGTTGGACTCTACTGGTCTGTCTGAGCCAGAGCATTGGTTCTGTTCGGGTCATATTTAAAATTAGAGACAGAAAACTCGGGAATCAGAGGATTTGTTTCGAGTTCTCACTCTATCGGTTGAACAGAGGTGACCTTCAGCAAGATCTCTTTGACTGCACATGGGTAGGTTAGCTTCCTGACTGGAGCTACAGTGGTCGATAGAGGGCATGTAGAAAAATGTCTGAGTATTTAGTGGGCAAACACCAAGGTTATAAACTCTCTTATGCTCTTCAGGAGAGATTCCCCACAAGGGGGATTTTTAGCCCCAGGCTCTCTTCCAACCCACTGATCATTTCTTTTCTCAGGATTGTTTTTACACACGTGGTATGTGTGTGTGTGTGTGTGTGTGTGTGTGTGTGTGTGTGTGTGTGTGTGTGTGTAGGCATTAGATCCCTTGGGTCTCATGATTGTGCAAGTGGCATTGATGAGCTCTCTCTCTCCCTCTCTCTCTGTCTCTCTGTCTCTCTCTCTGTCTCTCTCTCTGTCTCTCTCTCTCTCTCTCTCTCTCGCCTCTCACCCCACTGTTCTGCTAACCCTTTGTACCCTCATCTGCATGGTCTGAAGTGGCTAACTGCCACAGACACGTTGTAGCCAATGAATGAGGAAAAGGGGAAAGGGAACATACACACTTCCTTTTAAGGGATAGCTCAGAAATCGGCTTCTGCATTTTCATCTGTGTGTGAACTGATTTCCTTCATGTGACTATGACAGAGGAAGGGAGGTTGGCCATCTCTTGCCATGGTCCAGCTGAACTGCAGTGATTCTATTAAGAATGAGGAAAGAATGAATATGAAGACATAGAGTCTTAAGATCAAATTGTGAATGGAGGTAGTACTAAGGCAGTAGATACAGAAAGGCGATTGAACTTTGGACAACCAGAGACTAACCTTAGATAATAATGTGCTATGTCTGGCAGAGAGGAGATTGGAAAGACTAAGTCATGGAATGTTTTATAATGGGAGCTAGACCCCACTGTTTCTTGGGAGAGCTTCATGCTGATTGATCTAGTTTCAGCATCTATAAAGTGGGGAATAATAGCACTGACTTCTTAAAGATACTGTATGGATTGAAAGATGCACTGGCATGCCAAGATCTTATAAATTCCAAAACACTACATAAAAGCATTTGGCTAAGTCAGCCATGAGATGCAAGTGTGATACCATGGCTAGCTGAGAAGAGGTCAAGAGTCTTGGGGAAGAGATATCTTTGTTCAGTTACTTGAACTTTCTGAGCTCAGTGAAATAAATGACTTGCCTTTTAAAATCTCCCACAGATGTGAATCAGTGGACACAGGTTAAGTGACAGATGTTCTTGGTGTTGTAGAGAGAAACGATGCAACTTTAGGAAGTGATTTTGCATTTCAGAAAAGAATAGGCAAATAAAAATTAGGGTTATCTTGCAGCACCCAACCTTGCCAAAACACACACACACACACACACACACACACACACACACACATACACACACACACACACACACACACACGAAAGAAA